CTATCCTGGAACTAGCTCTTGTAGACCAGGCTGGTCCTGAACTCACAGAAATCCATCTGCCTCTGCCTCCCGAGTGCTGGGACTAAAGACGTGTGCCGCCACTGCTCGGCCTTCACTGCACAATTCATTCATGGATTTATAGAGGCATTCAGGGGACACCTAATTTCCTATGGGCCAAAGATATAAAGCCACACTTGTAGACAGAGTTCCTGTAGAGGAAAATCAGAACTCTGTGATACTTTCTAGCAAGTTTTAGTAGAAAACACCAATTCTGCTGCTGCAGAGAGGGTTCAGTGGGTAAGAGTGTTTACTGCTCTCGTAGAGGACCCAAGTTCAGTTCCCAGCACCCTCATGCTGGCTCACAAGGGTGTGTGTTCCAGCTGCAGGAGATCTGATAGCTGCTTTTGATATTTGTGGGCACTGCCTGCATGTGGTGCGCTGACAATGTGTACAGGCGGAATACCCAAGCACATAAAGTAAAATAAAGAAAACCCACCAATTGTTTTCTTTGTATCGTAGAATTGCTCAGAAACCTAAGAGCTTGCAAATTGGTAAACTAGTAGATTTTAAATTCAGACTGCACAGACCAGATGTCCTGTGGAACTCAGAAGATTTCTGAAAAAGATCTGGGCCAAAAGTATAAATTCACCAGGCAACTTCGAAACTCACAATTTTCTAGGTGTGAATTTAAAAATGAATAAAGTTGTTAGCTCTCTGAATTTGACTTTCTGAAATGACATTATAATGGGGAGACTGACTTTTTTTTTTTTTTTTTTTAAAGAAAATGTATGGAGAACTAGATGTCCTGTTCCTGACAGATGAATATGATACCGTTTTGGCTTATGAGAACAAAGGCAAGAGTGCACAGGCGTCTGATAGAAGGGACCCTTTAATGGACACCCTGAGCAGCATGAACAGAGTCCAGCAAGTGGAACTTATTTGTGGTGAGTACTGTTTATAACGTTTCCTTCACTGTGCAGGAAAATATATAAAGATAATAAACATGTTTCTAACTTTAGGAAGCAAAAATTAAAATTATAATTATATATTAGAGCTTTAGCTAGTTTGATTTTTAATATGCTGAATAGTTAATTGCTGTTACCAACAGTTCACTAGCATTCCGTGCTAGAATAATGTTTAAGACCACCGTGGGTTTGGCACACCTTTAATCCCAGCACTTAGGTAAATGCAGGAGGATCTCTGTGAGTTTGAGGCCAGCCTGGTCTATTGTGAGCTTCAGGATAGCCAGGCCTATGTAGAGAGACTGTCTCTAAAAAGGAAGAAAGGAAGAAAGAAAGAAAAAGAAAGAAAGAAAGAAAGAAGAAGCTACAACATGTACTATTTTAATTAAGGGTATTGCTACCTGAACACAGAATAATAGAAAGGTGTTTCATCCTTGTAAAGTAATTTACATTGAGCATGGGAGGGAGAGGGAACTGGGATTGATCTGTAAAATAAGATTGTTTCTAGATTAAATAAAATTTATAAAAAAGAAGAAGAAGGGGAAATAGCCCTGGGCCCCAGCATGCTCTCGTGATACCAGTGGTTCAGTCTTGGCCACTTTCCACCTGGAGTCACAATCTTGTGTCCCTTCTTAACATTGATCATTTCTCTTTCATTTGTAACCAATTGGTGGGTTTTTGTTTGTTTGTTTGTTTGTTTGTTTGTTTTTTGCCTTTATTAGACTCAAAACTTTAAAGTTTCTTCTTAGGCAGTGCACAAGCAATAAGCTTCATTATAATATTTTCATATGCATTTATCACTGTGCTTGGGTGTGTGTGTGGGTGTGGGGGGGGGTGGGGGAGAGAGAGAGAGAGAGAGAGAGAGAGAGAGAGAGAGAGAGAGAGAGAGAGAGATCCAGAGGCCCTAAGACTGAAGGTTTCTTCAGTGATAGGTAGGGGCTTTGTTGAGGTTCTTCAGCTGTGCTAGCACATGTGAATTTGGGTGAGCACATGGTTTAAAGCTGGCTGATTTAAAGGTTACTTGAGGGCTCTATTGATTGCGAGAAATAGGGAGACCTTTACAGAAGTCTCAGCTAGTCTGTATGGAGTAGTATTTCCAGGGCATGTTTGTTGTTTGTTTGTTTGCTTTTTCAGTTTTTTTGAGACAGGGTTTCTTTGTGTAGCTCCAGCTGTCCTGGAACTAGCTCTTGAGACCAGGCTAGCCTCAAACTCAGAAATCCACCTGCCTCTGCCTCCCAAGTGCTGGGATTAAAGGTGTGCACCACCATTGCCTGTGTTACTGTTAAACATAAAGCCCGGAGGTGAGATAAATGGGAAGAAGTTTCTCTGCATTTAACTAAGAAAATATATGTGTTAAACTGTTAACAAACTTACCTATCAATGGCAGATGTTTTGTTTTTAAAGTATAAGTCCTATCTGAACTTTTTGTTGTTTGATTTAGAATACAATGATTTGAAGACTGAACTTAAAGACTATCTGAAGAGATTTGCTGATGAAGGCACGGTATGTTGGGTTAAAGAACCTTAATCATAGTGTCATAAGTTTGAAATTAACTGTTTATTTTTCTCTAATGTTAAAAAATTGTGCAACCTAAATTGAGTACTGGGATTTTTTTAAAAAAAACTTTTTTGTTTGTATTTTGAAACAGTGTAGCCTTGTATGGCTTCACATTTTCCAGTTGTCTGACTCAGTCTCCCAAATGCTGGAATCACAAGGGTATACTCCCATGCCTGGCTGAGTAGCTGAAAGTTTAATGGAGAAACTACTAGTTGGCAGGCCAAGGAAGGTTCTGTAAGGACAGTGAGGCATCTGGGGTCCTTCCCATCCCCGAATGTGGGCAGAACAGTCACATAGGGTCTGACAAGGGGCTGCAAGGGAGCATTAGGAGGAGTCTGTTCATACAGAGCCTTGCGTGGGATAGAGGAAGATAACTGGGCAGAAACAGTTAAAATAGGATTCTGAGAGATCCAGAATTAGGACTCTTCTAACAGGCTGAAGAATATCTTACTTAGTCTGTACTTATTGTCGTTGTGTTTTAGAGATTTTATTTATTTTTATTTTATGTGTATGAGTGTTTGCCTCCATGTATGAATGTGTACCACATGCATGTCTGGTCTCCAAGGAGGCCAGATGAGGGAGTTAGATGCCCTGGAACTAGAATTGTGGGTGCTGGGAATCAAGCCCAGGTCCTCTGCAGGAGCAGCCAGTGCTCTTAGCTGAACCATCCGCAGCAGTCTGTGCCTTTAAACATGACTAGATAATGGATAATGCTGTAAAACAGAGTTCTTGATAAGTTATGGGTGCTTCCTAGTGTTCACTATTCAAGTGTGTGACAGAGCTTCACCTTTGTCTCCATGGCCTGAGGCTGTCTTTGTAAGTGGTTAGGGTCTTGTCTTGCTTTCAATCAAGGTAGCTGGGTGATGCCCTTGGGGTGCAGTGCTACCATCCTCTTGGAATCAGTCCTGATCCTTGTGGATGACCAAGGTCATGCTTCTGGGTTTCTAGCCAGGGGCTCTGATGCTGCTTCTATAAAATGAGTTGTGATATCAGATGCTAAAAGTCTTGCCCCAAATGGTTCAGGTTTTGTTGTTGAGAGAGTCTCACTGTATAATGGTGGCTACCCTGGAACTCTCTTGGTAGATCAGGCTGGCCTTGAACTCACAGAGATCCACTTTTCTTGGGCTCAGTGCTCAGTTCCATTTTCTCGGTTTTTAGAGCTAGCCCTACTTGCCCACATCTTGTAGGTTACAGCTGTGCTTTCTTTCTTTGCTGCAGAGTCTCTACTTGAGCTTTTTCCTGCTAGAAGTGAGATGTGTCATGGGTCCAGTGGGGCTTTAGTCTCCTGTGTAACCTCTGCATCTCCAGACTCTCAGGGTGTTTTAGAGAGCCAGGTCACACTCTGACTCTGGTGTAGTTTGTGGTCACCATGCTCTGTACTAATTTTATCATGCAATCTTAAAGTCATATCAGAGCGGCTGGGAGATGACTTAGCAGGAAAGAGCTCATGCTGTGCAACTCCTGAGCTTATGGAAAAGCTGGGCATAAGTGCACACACCTGTAACCCAGTGCAGACAAGGATTGTAGGGCCTTCCTGGCCACCGGCTAGCTCCAGCTTTAGTGAGAGATCTTGCCTCAAGGGAATAGTATAGCAGGATACCTACATCCTCCTGGGGCTTCTGTTTGTGTGTATACACTCCCCACTTTGTTTCTTTCTCAAATCATATTAGAAAAAAAGATAACGTCTTTTTCAGTTACAATTTGAAACTATTTTATACAGAGGAAATTTTGTATCTGATGTGATGACTTAAAAATTCAGAAAGCGTAATTTTAAAAATTATTTGGAGCAAGCCAGGTGTGGTGGTGTATATCTTTAATTCCAGAATTCCAGTACCTGGAGGCAGAGGCAGGTGGATCTCTGTTAGTGGGTTCCAGGACAGCCAGGGCTACATAGTGAAATCCTGTCTCCAAAGGAGTAAACAATTATGTGGGGGGCTGGAGAGATGGCTCATCAGTTAGGAAGGCTGCTCTTCCAGAGGATCTGGGTTTAATTCTTAGCACCCATGTGGCAGGCAGCTCATAACTGTCTGTAAATCCAGTTCCAGGAGATCCAACACCTTCTGGCTTCTGTGGGCATTAAACACATATGATGCACAGACCTATATGCAAGCAAAACACACATACACATAAAATAATAATGCTTTTTTTTTTTTTTAATTATTTGGGTGGCTAGTTCGATGGCTCATTGGGTAAAGACACCTGTCACCAGGCTTGACAACCTGGATTTTTCCTGGGCACTCACATGGTGGATGGAGAGAACTGACTCTTGAAAGTTGTTCTGTGACCTCTGCACATGTGCTTCCCGTGGTAAATAAACAAACATGACTGACTTCTAGAATTCAGAATTTGACTCTGATGTGTGTGGGCTTAGGTATCCTACCACAGTATCCAGGGATAGATAGTATTTCCTTTCTTTGGTTGTTTCTCTGGGTAGGCTTGGTTGTCCTGGAACTCTCTCTGTAGACCAGGCTGGCCTTGAACTCACAGAGATCCACCTGCCTCTGCCTCCCAAGTGCTGGGATTAAAGGCGTGCGCCACCACGGCCTGCCCGATAGTGTTCTCCTTTCATAGCTTGCTGTCAATGTTTGTAACCCAGGTCAGGACAAATCCTTTTGCTCGTGTGAGTTCAAGTGCTCTCCCTTTCTCCCCCTTAACTTCCCTGCCCGCCTATCCTTCTCCCAATAAGCATATGTGTTCCTTTGTATTTAAAAATAGACTAAGAAACCTCTATCTTGTGATGGCTGCAGTGGACTCAGAGCTTTAAGTCCATTGCCCATAACCTCCATAACTTAGATTTCGAGGTTTTTTTTTCTGCCATCCATTTTTCTGTTGATTTCTGTAGCAATCATCATTAATTTTAGACTCAAGATACAAAAGGGTTTTTTGGTTTGTTTCTTTTCTTTTTCTTTTTTCTTTTTTTCTTTTTAAAGGAAAGATATTCATTCTCCAATCAGTGCAGAAAAAAGCACAAATCCAGGTTGGCATGGTGATACGACAGACACCTTTATTCCCAGAATTTGGGAGGCAGAGGCAGGCTATTTCTTTGTACTCTGAGTCAGCCAGAGTTATATAATAAGACCCTGCATCAAATAAAACAAAAAAGCACAAATGTAGAGCAGGGCAGACTAAGTCTTCTTTCCTGGGGGGTGCTGATGAGCACATGCAGAGTGACTGCAGGCCTCGGGGCCATGTGTGTCAGGGCTGTCGTGGTTCCGCTAACTCTTACTGAGAATGGACTATGAGCTTCATAGACTGAGGCTGGGCTGATCTTCCAGTTGCCCTGTTAGATGGGCACTGCTTTTATTATTTTCCCTGTGGAGATGCTGAAGGAGGTGGTGCAAGCTGAGGTTTGAATCTTTCTGTCCTGCTGCCTGGATGTGTGACCGAGTGGTCAGCCTCCGTGGCCTCAGTGAGCATGTTTGCAAAAAGATGCTGTTAACTACACACAAATATGCAGAGGCCTCTGTCAAGTGTGGTTTGACTTGGGATTTGTCCCCCTGCAGTGAAGGGAAAGCAGGGGCCACTTAGTAAAGACTCCTTCAAGTTGTAAATCTGTCACTCTTGTCGTGACAGCCTGTGATCACTGCATGTGTCCCGTGTTCCCCACTCTGGTGCTTGCTAGCTTAGGTGCCTACAGATGGTTTCAGATGGCAGTGAGCTTACCCACTTGTAATCTTGCAGTGAGTGCATGGGGCGCCTGCAATTCTCTTTTGTTTTGTTCTTGTGGTTTTGAAACTGGGTTTCGTTATGTAGCCCAGGCTGGCCTTGAACTGTGGCTGTCTTCCTACACTGGGATTACAGACTGCACCAGGTTGGCTCCTCTGGTTCTGGAATTAACCAGTGGGCTATTTTGCTGGCTTGTGAGCTCTCTGACCTTTTGTTGCTATTGCAGAATGTGCTCCCTTTCAAACCTTGGCTTTTCATCAACAGGTTGTTAAGAGAGAGGACATTCAGCAGTTCTTTGAAGAATTTCAGTCTAAAAAGAGAAGGAGAGTGGATGGGCTGCAGTATTACTGCAGCTAGAGGGGAGTGCCTGCTTCCTCATTCAGTGAAAATGCCACTGTTCCAGAATAAAGAGACCTGTGTCACACTTGGTTCCCTTTCCGTCCTCCTGTGGCCTCAAGCCCCCATCTCAACAGTAGCCGCAGTGTTTATGCTGCTGTCTCTACAGCATCCTCGATGACTCAGCGAAACGCACCTCATCCCACAGACTCCAGCTTTCCTGTCCGGATACCCAGGGGTTTTGCTTATGTTTTAAGATGTTTGATTTGATCTTGAGAAAGCAAATTGGTTTCTTTTTTTGGCAATGTGTTCCATGACTCCCAAATGTGTGTCCACAGGCTGTTGCCCCCTGGGTCCTCTCTGTCTTGCAGGTTCTCTTCCTGTCAGCTCAAACCTCTGTGGGGGGCCATCCCTTCTGCCCCCATGATCACAGTGCCTTGGGGCACAGCTTCCTCAAGCCTGCTCTTCAGAGTCCTCACTGCTTCCTGAGGTTTGCTCGTGGCCTGAAGGGATTTGTGATTTCTCTGGACCAGCGTTCAGAGCACCAGGCTTGATGTTCAGGTGCTGATGTCTGTTGTGGACAGGGAGGTTGACTCATGGCAGGATTGAGGAAGCAAGCCTTTGTTCTGAATTTCACTGATGAATTTAAAGTGAAATTTTGCCCCATTCTTTTGGCACTTAGACATCAGCTTTAGTACTGTAATGCTCCCAGGGCTTCCAGGGAATCCACCCATATCTGAATCCCTTTGCTGCTGCCTAAAATGACCAGATCCCACCCCATGGGTGCTTTCCAGAGTCCTCTGGTTTCTTATGTTATCAGGGATATGCATAAGCATATATTAAAAACGGACCTATTTTGATACAGTTGGAACCTCAGTAAGTTATTTTTCCCCTTGAATCTGTGCTGAAGGCAAAAATACTGACTGACCTTAATGGTGGTGAGTGGGCCAGTGTTACTGAAGATTCCAGAGAAAGCCCTCAGCCACACAAAATGCCAGGTTTTGTGTGTGTGTGCACAGCTCCTCCCCTCCTGAATGAAGTCTGAAGAGTCTCATGGATTGTTGTCTAAAAATCCACGTTTGAGGGAAGTCTTCTGGCTGGTGTGAAATCTTTTTAAAGTTCCCTCTGTCTATGTGGAAAATATCTTTTGATCTACAAAGCCCTAAGTTGTCCCCTTGAGAGAAACAATGTCTTCCCTAGCACACTGGGGTACATTAAAGGCATTTTAGGCCATATGTTGGTGTGGATTTTTTTGTGTATGTGCAGCAGTTGTATGCATGAGTGCTTACCAATTCCTCATAAGACAAAGGAGAGCCTACAGATGAGGAAATGGCATGGCTCCTGTGCTGTGGCCTGTAGCCTCCCTCCTAATGACAGGCCCTGTGAAAGCTGGTATGAGGAACTGGAAGGCTCCTGGCTGCAGGCAATGCCTGTGTACACTGAGCTGGCCTCCTGGAGAGGACTCAGTTAAAAACCTCAGCTGCCTAAGGCCTGGGGATCTTCCAAGTCTGAGGGTACCTTGAATTTGAGAGTTGCACTTTCCATGTTCCATCATGTCCTCAAAGTTTATATCTTCCCAGGTGTCCCACTTGACTACAAAAATGTTCCTGTCTGCCTGTGGCAGGTCAGAACCATGGCTCGGCAGCAGCGTTAGTGAGCAGCAGCAATACAGATGCCCATGCTGAAGGGCTTGTCTAAGAAAGGCTCTCTACTTAACCAGAAAACCTCTTTTTGTACCTGTTCACAACTGATTTTCTTACCGACTTGGGCTGTCTCTTCTCGTAGAGATGGTTTGGGCCAACCTGTGGCAGTTGATATTAATGCATGTTTTATGCAAAACAAAAATGTGATACTAGTTACTTTTCAGGAATTCTGGCATTGTATGTACATTTTTGTAGAAATTACTACTGGATTTAACATATTTCAATCAGGTTTCTGTAAAATCCAAATTAAACCAATTTAAAATAGTTGATTTTCTGCTTGTTCTTGGTCATGGTGTTTTTGTTGTTGTTGTTGTTGTTTGTTTTTGACTCTCTTTCTGGTCCTGTTTAAATCTACCCTGCTTCCATCTGCGGGTGGTGAGAGACTGAGCTAGAGTTTCAGCCCACAGCTCTCCTACCCTGGGCCCTGGTTCAAAACTGGAGGCAGTTCATTCTGTTCCAGCCAGTCTATAAAATGGGCCCTTGGTGTGGGGGAACCGTGATGGGGGAAGTGCTTCTTTGTATGTGTTTGTCTTACTGGATGATAAATAAAGTACTGTTTGGCCAATGAGGCAGCGAGTTAGGCGGGACTAGGAGTCAAGGAGGATTCTGGGAAATGTAGTAAAGAAGTGGTGATCCGCAGGAAGTGACATAGCAGGGAGACTCATATATAAACAAGGGCAAGAAGGAAGTGGGCCCCTTCTCTCTTCCTCCAGAGTCGTCATGTGATCCTGGGATGAGGACACCAATGGAAGGCATCCTCTATAAGTCTTATAAAATATATAGATTTATGATAATTAAGACTGAGCTAACAGATGAGAAATCCTAGTCATTGGCCAAGCAGCATTTGTACCTAGTAGAAGTCTTTGTATATTATTTGGGGCCCTAATGTAGCTAGCGGAACTCAAGCGGGTGGCAGAAAGATTCATCATAACAGAACCGCTCAGCAGAGTTAAGAGAGTTTGCTGCCCAAGTATAATCTGAGTTCAAAAACCCGAAATCTCAGTACAGTCATGCTATCACATCTGCAGCTCCAGCACAGTGGGTGGGGAAAGGAAGACTGCAGGGGCTACCTGCCTAGGTCCAAGTTCAGTGATGGACCTTGTCACAGAACGATGGAAAGAATGCTATGCCCACGGTGAGTTAGGTGAAGGAAGTCTTCTCTGCCCTTATGCTGCTTCCCTAGCTAAAACTGATGAAAGTGTCCTTGGTGCCAGGAAAACTGGTTCTCATCTCCTAGAAGACTGGTGAAGCAGAAGGGGCAAGTCAAAGAAGTGGTCTAGTCAGTCGTCCTGTGGAAGGTCAGTAATGTATGGGGAACCAACCTAGCAGAATTCCCAGGAGCCAGTAGGACTGTCTTATAATCATGTCACCTTAAAGCTGAGACTGTTGATGGCTTTTTAAAAATTTTATTTATTTTATTTTTCACCAGTAAGCTACATAGCAGCCCATGGCATTATAATAGCTAGCTTCCCTGTATGATATTCAGGGACAGGAGGTGATCTCAAAGGAAAACCTTTGTCCACTGGCAACATCACACAGAACAAACAAAGCAGATGGCAGTAGGGTGGCAGCAGAGCTGAGGACATGTGGACTTGGATCAGTTAGGATGAGAGGAAAGGGGTCTCTGGTTCCACCAGTCAGCTTGAGGACAAACAGAAACAGCCCCCTGCAGAGCCCAGTGCTCACAACTCAGATGCAGCCACATCAGACCATATTTAGCCACATGAGAGGTGGGGATGAAAGGGCTTGGGCAGGTGCCAGAGAACGAACACCAACATGGAAGGATGAGCTAGAGGCAGGCTGGGGAAAGTGGCTAATGAGATGGGAAGAAACCAGGACAACATCACAGAACTGTGGGTGTCATGGTGTCTGGTGGTAGGCAGAGGGAAGAGGGAAAGGGCCTGTTGAGGTTCTGTAATCTCTAAACTGACAAGAAATAAGAATAAGAGCTAGGCCGGGCATTGGTGGCACACACCTTTAATCCCAGCACTCGGGAGGCAGAGGCAGGCGGATCCCTGTGAATTCGACCAGCCTGGTCTACAAGAGCTAGTTCCAGGACA